TCAAACAATATCCCAGAACTGACAGTAAATTGAACACATTTCCATTTAAAACCAGTATTTATTTTATATCACACTAGTTGTTTCGTAATGGGATTTAAATAATGCATTTTGTTTATTTAATCGTTAAAGTGGCCTTTCAGTTTAAACTAAGTTATTTTGAAATAATTATTCCGGTTTAATAATTATAACAAATAAAAATGTAGTCATTGGTTAATGACTCGCGTAGGTTTTTAAGGAAAGTGAGCTGAAGATGCTCAAGTGGGATTCGAGAGTGGCGGCGGGCGTCGAGCATTCAGAATGCCCCATTGACTAAGGGTACCTGTATCGAAAGCCTCTTCCTTTGATCCACGATTAACACTTGATTTAAGCAGATTTTTTGTTCTAATGATTTGAAAATATTGACTCTCCATCTCCACATTGAAAAACAAAGTGGTTGAGTATTATCGCTTAGATAAAGATTTTTTATTTTTGACAAATTGTTCAATTGAAACACATTGATTTATTTACTAAGCCATTATGTATTAATTATTTCAGATTTAGTATTTTTTTATTAAAATATACAGAGTTTGGCAAAGCCAAGTTACAGGAATCTAGAGTTTGAAGGAATAATATTAGGAGTTACAAGGAGTTTGGCTAACAGCTGCTTTGATTCCCAGTAAAGTACCTAGCGCCTTACAGCTATGTAGGTGTAGGTACTTTGGAAATTTAAGAGAAACTGCTAGAGATGTTACACATTAATCTTAAATTCTAATCATTTCTGACTACAAAAGCGAAAATAACTAGTCGCTGTGGGTTGGAAATTGGAGTTGTGAGTTAATATACGCTTATATGGTATGGTCACAGTAAATGAAATGTTTATTGATAGGTATAACCATAGTATGGGCTTTCTGAGGTATTAATTAGCAAACAATTTAGTTGAGTTTATTCCAATAAAGAATATCAAATTTATAATAGATTAAATTGATTCCCATAGTTACAATAGCTAGTTTCAAACAGTTCCATAAATAACACACATTATGGACCTCGTGCTCGAGCTTTCAACCGCTCTATTAATTTGACAGACAAACTTCAGAATAAAATTAATTTGTTACAAACATGATTCTTCCTTTGAACATGTTCATAATGTTCTAAGAAAAACACAAATAAAGCCGTGGTTGATTTTATAGCATAATCACAAGCATACTAATTGACGTTACATACAGACTCGTATTATCCCTAAGGGAAAATAGGCATGTGCCTAGGGCGCCGGGTTACTGAGGGGCGCTACGACGCTCTGAGACGCACGTGCTCATTGAGTGACGGCAGCGCCATAAAAAATTAGGAGCGCTTATGAGGTACTTATTGTTAATATTTGATTAGAAATAGCAATAAAGGCTATTTTATTTTATTTATTTATTTTATTTACTTTATCAGGCGCTTGTCTAGAGTGCTCTCTGGATTTAATACTCTCTGGTTACATAGATTCATAAGTGGTAACACAAACATTGGTTCAAAGTTGTCACAAGAATTGGATTCCGAGTAATGTTTTATTACGTAATGTGAAGGTGGGTAATTGGGTATGGGTGCTGGGCGGTTGGCAGGTCGGTGTGGGAGGCCAGCCAGTACTTGTTGTAGGAAGTTGACCGCGGTGGACTCGTTTCCTACCGCTGCCACTGCCACTAGTTATCGGCAGATACGTCGTGCCACCACCCGCCGGAACCCGTTATCGATTTACAACTTCAAACATTTATCTAAAAGTTCGTCAACAAGTCTAGTCAATAAAATAATACTTGTTTCGTACTCAATATTAACTCCATTTTTGTATTATTTGTTCCATATTATATTTTTCATAATAGATTTCGGCGTGTAACACTCGACTTTCAATATTAAGATGTTTAATTATTTCATGACATTGTTCTAAGTTGCTAGTGATATCTTTATAAGTTCTTTTAATGATAAGTCTATGATAAGAAAGTCCGTGACACAAAGCCATCATTATCATCAATATTTCAGCCACAAAACACCTACTTCTGAATGTCGATCTCTCCCAATGGACACGCACCTAATATTTGCCTTGCAGTCACAAATCCTAGAGTGGGGCAACGTATTTTAAAAAATAAAAAAGAATTCTTAACACCGACACATACGTACACACGATAAAAATAATATTATCTACAAGTTTATAAATACAGCACATCTATTCTATGGCGACAAGTGGCATGCGTTCGTTATCTGCTCTATTGTTCAATAAAACGACTCGATAAAAACTGCAACACGGTAGAGAAAGCTCACATACAGTCACCGGCGTTATATTTATACTACAATAGAAACACGAACTAAATAAATTACTAGCTGCGTACCGATTCTATTCGAAGACAATGTAGATAGCAACGGACTTTGCCTTGCCTCGTTTAATTGTTTTTATTGCATCTTTTAAATGGCCACGCCAATCTGTAATAGTGTTCATTGGATGTAAACGGTTCGACCTTATACAATTCGTTTTAATAGGTACTTATTTATACTTCGGTTGATATGACCGAAGTTATCAACTGATTCATCCAGACTTATTCCAGCTAGGTTTCTGACAAAAATCCCTCGATCAACTATTACAACATTAACAACTATAGTATTTTTTAAACAAAGCAAAAAGTCATTCAAATACATTACTTGTTTCAAGAATTATTCGGTCGATAGTAATAAAAGTAAACTTATTATCATCCAACTAATTAGGATTATTATAATCAAACATAGTACTTTTGTACCAAAAAAACGGATAGCAAATTCTATTAGCCTACAAATATTATTGAATATTATTTAAGCCTATATTATGTAGATGGTATCAATATACTAAACATTAATAAGGAGATAAATATTATTCTAGAAAACTCGGTATTATACCTATATTATTCAATAATCGCCCTGAGGATATTAGTGCGTATGTACTAGAATAATTAGCCAGCTTCGGTAATTAACTTACACAATTATTACAAGATCATTTATATGATCAAGAGATTATTTATTTATTTTTGGTGATTAATACGTAGATATATTTTCGCTGGAGTCGACACAAAAAATATGGGTTTCATTATAGTGGGTTGTGTATAACTGTAATGCTAATTCATACACCACGTGACAGACAGGTGAATTAGAACATACTTTCTATAACTTTCTATTCAAATCATTGTAAAATTACTAAATATGTGAGCCAATCAAATAACTCCGCTGGCTAGTTGATATTAGCAGACTGACATTGTTTTTGTATTTAAAAGCAAAAATACTAATTTATGGCCCTATATTTACCTTTGCCTAAAACTTGTGGCGAGTTTATACGCAAACATCTGCAAATATTTACAGTAAAGTAATATTTTGTAAATATGTAGTTATGTCCAGTTACTGCAATTGTTTTACCCGTTGTGATTGTTAATTTAAATAAATAAACAGGCACGCGCATCCGTCAATCCTCAAATTTATTGTTCAAAAGTATGTGATATATACATAAAAGTATATGACATAACATCACGCCTTTTATCCTTGAAGGGGTAGGCAGAGGTGCACATTAGTCACTGTACAATGTAACATCCACTTTTCACTATGTATGTTATGAGTCCCATGTATCAGGGGGGTGAGCCTATTGCCATATACCGGGCACAATTCCAGACTTCATGCTACTACTAAAAATTTTTTGAAAATCTCAGTCATACCTACATTCAAGTATATATTGGTTGTAAAAGGTAAGTTTTAAATAACGTCACACGGCCTCACAAACAACTCTGTTATTCAAGCAAGTAGGTAAGCAACAAGCAAAACTTATGTCTGCAAATGTACTGTTCACAATGTTCTTTATTCATATTGAAATTAATCTTCCGAACCAATAATTCTCTACGTGCCGCTGTACTTGAGGAAGTAAATCAGACGGTGGCAAATCCATTGTTGATGTTCATATTAGGTATTAAATAGAATTGGAAGCGGCGGAGAAATGAAATGAGGATACGTGAGGCCGAAGTACTCAATAAACATTGCTATGTGAAAAGGGTGTATTTCAAAAGTCTAATAAAACATTTACAAAAATCGTTTTGATTTAAGGGAAAGTGTCACAAGATGATGATAAAATCAACAACAAGCGATTAGTAGTCTTATTAGCATTTTTCGACGATTTTATTTAGTTTGACCCGTTCGTTTGTTAAGTTTAAATGTAGCAATTGGAATTTTACCCCTTTCCTGACGATAGATTGAGCTGGTATTTGGCACACACTCTTAACCTTGATGACCATAACATAATAATATAATCTGTTTTGTTTAAAACTACCTCCGTTATGGGTATCAAACGAGAGCTCCATAAAACTGAAACAGTTTAACATATAATTTATAAGTATTACTTGTGGTGAAAATAAAGAAGGTACTTAATATGGGTGCGTTTAGAATTCAATTTTGATTAATTTTCTTTTAGATTTGACATCTTTTCAATTTTGTTTATCAATACTCAGAATAATACAAAACGTCTTTAGCGTCTTTTTATTATGTTTTATTCATGCCAAAGAATATGATAAGTATTCAAAAGAAATGTAGGCGGTGAATCAAAACATTCACATAGTGTCGTTAGTTAATTATTATTTTTGATGCTTTGAGTTGTTACAATGGGGTAGTAGACAGTGTATGAAAATTAAAAATGTAATTAGTCCGTCATTTCGATAATGAAAAAATATTAGACCCCTTTTTTTATTTTATTTTGTCGTATAAGAAAACAGTACTTAGATAAAGCGGTGTTGAGTTTAGGATTGGAAGGTCGTTACGTCACTCTACCCTAAAAATATATTAAATCGTGACGTCACACGATATTTCAAATCAAAATATCGTCGAAAGTTTTTAATTTTGTAAGAAAAGAATAAATACGTGTCTAATGTTTTAAAATAATCTACCAGACGACATAAAAACAAATTTAGGATACTAATACTACCCTATTGTTAAAAGTATACATACGACATATCTTTTTTGCAGAAAATATATTTAAATCTTTGTTCTAGGGGAGCGGGCGGAGGTGGAATGTTTGGTGACGTCAATATCTCAGCCATTTTGGATTCCCTAAGTGTAAGCTACGATAAAAGAGTGAGGCCGAACTATGGAGGTTTGTATAATTAGATAATATTTAATTTTTATAATAAAGTCCATCTGCTTAGCTTTGCGGGTTGTATATAATTTTTTCTAATGGAGTTTCTTTCTTAGTATGATTATTATAAAATGATTATAATAACTAATGATTAATTGTTGAGATTGATTGAGAATCTGTAAAGGTTTACCTTTGTCATGATGTGCAGATACTGACAAAGTTATCATTATCTATAAAATATCTAAGTATACGATTGTTTACTAAGTTATTTTATCTATAGAATTTTTATTAGAATTTGGAAATCATAATATCTACATTTTTAAGGACCTTGTTTAAATTTTATACTATTTTTATATGAATGCATTAAGATTGATGAATTTCTTAATAATTTATAGCTATTTACAGAAAAAAAACTTTAAACAAACTGTCAATTAAAATTGCAACAAAAAATATTTAGTTTAGCTACTAACATTTATTTATATAAAGCCCCTTAATCTAAGAGAGGGTAGACAGAAGTGTACTATACAAGCTGAAAAAACGAAGTACCTTGGTTTTTATAATTCACTTATGTAAATAGTTTCGTAATTAATTAGAATATGATGCTTATTTTAAGTTTTATTTTCTTTTACTTGCCTTTCTTAACTAGGTGGGTGCCAGCAATGTGTCATCTGGATATACTACAACTAAGTATTATACATGGAACAATTGCCAAAATCTTAATAATTTTTTTCTTAACTAAACATAACATCACGCATTTCATCCCCGGAGATGTAGGCAGAGGTGCATATTACAGCACTTATTGCCACTATACAATGTAACACCAATCTTTCACTATCTATGTTATGAGTCCCATGTAAAAGGGGTGAGCCTATTGCCATATACCGGTCACATTTCCAGACTCCGTGCTGGGTTTTAAATAATACTGACATTTTTTTTAAACCCAGTAATACTCTGCCCGACCCGGGAATTGAACCCGAGACACCTTGCCCGGGAGGCATTCTTATTAAATTTAATTCTTAAGTATTAATAATACTTACCAGTAGATTTAAGCGCTTGTTACTCCGTCCATCTTACAGGCAATGAATGCGTATGTTGGGCCATTTGATAAATCAATATTGTTTGGTTTAATGCCGTAATAAAATCTTCTAAGTATGATGAATTTTGAATAACGTAAGGATTTTTTTTAGTATTCTGTTTAATGTATAGTCAGCACAGTCAGCTATTTACTGTACTAGTGAGAAAATGAAGATTGATTCCGTAGAAAGACAGTAAACCAATGGTGGTTGGTTTGCTATTGAACCGATCAATGATATAAAATATGTGGCTTGGTTGACAATTGTATAATTTAAAATAATACTAGCTATTGTCTCTGAACTAAGTCAATCTATATTTTCTTATTGTAAATAGTTGTGTTGTACATAGCTACATATAAATATTTTCAGCGAATATGTAGAAATAACATATTATTATGAATGATAATATTATCATATAGTGCAAACATCAATTTTGTTCGTTGTCGCAATAGGTGAGCCTATATTTAGTGTAATTTCAATACGAGTAAAAGAAAACATTTATTTAATGAACATCTTGATGGGATTGTAATATAGTTTTAAATAAGTACGGTATAGTGAGTAAAAAGTCCGAAGTGAGACTTTTTTGCGGCTTCTCCAACTTCCACATCTATATTAATACTTTTAATCCGATGTATTGTGTATGTTCGAAAATCAACGTTGTAGGTAGGTAACTACTTTTCGAAATATATACTTTTCTATCCGTTTGATATTATAACCAATATTCGTGGAGTTTAATAGTAAATTACAATATGTACTTATATGGGATACTCGATAACAAAGGGTGAGCTGAAAAGTTCGTATCCTAACCAATAAATGACGCTACAGTATCAAATCCTTAAAATTTCTAGTTAGCCCTAAGACGCTTTAGATTATGCTAGTTTTTGCACCGTTAGTATCTGAATTGCATTTTGATTAAAATAACTTTTGTCACTTTGAAAATATGATAAAAAAAGTTCTTGTGTTGATCAAGCACGGCTTTTTGGCAAAAAAGTTTCTGTTGAAACCAATATTTGGCTTGATAAACATTATTGGACTTTGCACTGGGAACGTAAATTGTAGAAAAGTGGTTTGCTCAAATTTAATAAAGTGAAATGAGCATCCAGGACGATGCATGCCGTGGAACGCCTCCACGGCATGTATCGTCCTCCCCAAAAGAGACAGTTACCGACGAAAACGTCAAAAAAGTCAATAAAATATTTTTTGGTAACCACAAAATGAAGTTGATTAATATAACGGAGATCCCTAGAGATGTTAAAGGAATGTGTAATCATCAGTTTTCATATAAAATCTCTGTAAAAAGTGAGTGCCGCGCGAACTCACAATCGACCAAAACCAACAACGAATCGATCAACAAAATCAATGGCGAAATGGCAATGCTTCCACATCCACCGTACTCTGTAATCTACACCGTAATCTGGCCCCCAGAACCTTTTTTCTGTTCTCAGACCCCCACTGGATAAAAATTTTGCGCCAATGAAGAGGAAAATGCCAAAACTGATAGTCAGTTTTGGCATTTAATTGCCTAGAAATAGAGTTCTATTTCTATACGAACTTCTCAGCATACCTTATATAATAGTCTCTCATTGTCGAATTGAGAAAAACCCTGTAACGGTAGTGTAGGAAATTGCGAGAACAAATCGCATTGACCGCTTTTTATTTATGGTAATCTACCATAGAAATAGATAAAGAACACTATTACTAAATAACGAGCTAGTGCGTTGTTACATAGAGAGCGTACACAGTGTAGCCCTAATATTATCCCGAAGTTAATATTATGACTAAGCATTAAGAGAGGGCGAATGAGAACATTATAACAGCGTCGTCACAGGTAATGTAATTGATGTACCATTTCAGGACCGCCCGTGGATGTGGGAGTCACCATGTACGTGCTCTCCATCAGCTCCCTATCTGAAGTGAAAATGGTATTTACAGCTGCAAAACTACTTTTACGTAGATTGTCATTTTAAGAACAAAAATGACATAACAGCGTCTAGGTTAGCGGCCCTCGATCGAGCTATGGGATCTTTTTGCAAAACTTCGCTGAAATGATTCATCCTACGTTCAATCGAGGGTCTCGGGGCGTCACGTCACCGTCCTCTGGTTTGGTTTTCACGGCGCGAGACACGCGCGCGACTCACGATTGGGCTTGATTGCAGGTCCGCCAGTGGAAGTGGGCGTCACCATGTATGTGCTCTCTATCAGCTCCGTCTCCGAAGTGCTCATGGTACTCGCCACTGTCAGCTCACGCTTGTCTCGGTCGCTCCGGCCGCGCGCTGCGCCGCTGCGACCGAGCAGCCCCAGACACGAGGCTGCGAGCATGCCGGCGTTATGGAGCCGACCACCCGGACGGCAACGCACCTCCCACTTTACTTGTTCTTTTAATTGAATCAATATCTTGTATGTGCGCACTGTACGCGTATTTGTTTTGAATATGGTGGTGTGCCCCTCCGGGTGTGTCTTCAAAAGACATACTAAAATGTTACCTTGCCATTAAGCATCCCTCAAAGCAAAGACACTGTCGCAAAATTTGCTCCATATTGTTGTTATTTTAAGCTTTTTATGTTCTTGAGGTATTTGTTGTGACTGTGGGTTTCTTACTATTGTATCTTCGAATGGTGTCTTACGCCTCGGATACTCCACTTGCCTTTTCTTACTTTAGTAGTCTTGCTGTGAGTGTATTTCGTGTTTGTACTGTGATTCAGTAACTTCCGGTCTGACAAGGAAATTGGAAATTTACTGCAATAACTCGATCTTTATATTTGTTTCCCACGAAATCTATTAATTAAATTAAATTTTCTAAGTAAAGAGAGTTCTGGTACATGGTTTTCCACACAAAATGTGAGGTCTAGTGCGTGCTTAATGGCTCTTATCGAATAAACACAGAAAAGTATTAAAACTAAATTAATGAAATCACAAAAGAATATTTTAAAAAAATCGTAAATCAAGCCGCCGAAAATACCTTTGATGACGGTTCTAAAGTACAGACGTCAAACTAAGACCAGGGTGTATGACCCCTAGTGGAAACCAAATCAAGGAGACTCTGAAAGTCACTATAGGACGTGACCCTACCCGGATACTAGATATAGACATAACTAGCTTTAGTAAAAGTACACGTACCAGTACACCTCCACGTGGTATGAGTACAGTTGACAGTATGAGTACCTTTCATGACCAAATAAACTGTTTGACAGAAGTCACTTTGTTGTGAAGTGGTTTTGTGTATCTACTTATTTCGCTTTTCCCTTTACATATTCGCTTTGCAGCATAAGTAATACTCTTACGTGTACTTTATTGTGTAAAATATTAGTATATAAACTATTCGTAATAATATTTTACACATATACCAATACCTACCTAAAATACGTTTCATTATACGAGGTAATGATTGTTAATATTTAATTGGGCATAATTATGAGGCTAGTGCAGTTTGCAATATTATTATTGACCAAACTGCCCGCAATATTGCGGAAATTCAATACTATCGTATTTATGTATCTCAGAACCTCAATCAAATATTATATTTGTATAAGTGAATTTCATGATAATAATGATGCAATTATGAGTTTACCTTGTAATTCACACATGTTTAATGTGGAAAATTACCTCGATCTAAAGAATAGTAAAATCATAAAGTTATTTTGAATGTTATTCTCATTCATGCTCGTATTTCCTGACATTCGAATCGCACAGACAATGAATGTGCTTCGGCGATAACGTTTCGCTGCATTCATTAAAGCAAATTAACATTTTAAGCAGGCGCCAAGCAACCCTACGAACGAACAGTATTGCCGGATTACATCCATTGTTGTGCCAGTGTAAGTCAATCAAGTTGCGCTATTATTTCCTACAACAATAGAAAATGTTTCAGGATTTCACCCTGGATTTCTACTTCAGACAGTTTTGGACAGACCCCAGGCTTGCTTACAAAAAAAGGACGGGTGTGGAGACACTTTCCGTCGGCTCAGAATTTATTAGAAACATATGGGTACCCGACACTTTCTTTGTTAACGAAAAACAGTCTTATTTCCACATCGCTACTACAAGCAACGAATTCATCCGCATTCATCATTCTGGATCTATTACTAGGAGTATAAGGTAAATATAGGAACAAAGTTTTATAATGCATGTTTAGGGTACTCTACACCCGAGACTAACTGTTTCCATCGATTTCTAGACTAATGTGTTTGTCTGACAATAAAAAAAATATGCTTTATTTCAGTCTGAACATCATTGATCGCATTTGTATATAATTTCTGCAATCTATGAATAATTATGCTCAACATAATTAGTCCCGATAACATTTTGCGATCCGGGATTTCCTGCACCATGTGGGTAATCACGTACCAATCAGCAATCAATTATTGTATCTGTATGTGCAGGCCGAGGATAATCCTTATTAGCAACTAAGACGTCCGATCACGTTCAATGTTTGCACGTAGTTGGATAAATTAGTTGATGCCCATCACGACAGTTAAAAGCTCGTGCCTTGAGTTAGCTCTAAATCCATAACAATATTACACAAACTCAAACAATAGTGGTTTATCCAAAATCAATTTAACCATGTCTTCAAGGCACTGTGTAAATACGGTAGTTGTTTGGAAGTAGATGGTCTCAGGTGGACTAAAACAAACCGCAAAATGACACCAATTAACAACAACAGTACAATATTATTGATATATTGGCTTATCTAAACAGCTTGCACTTGTTCACAGACTGACTATCACCGCTTCTTGTCCAATGGATCTGCAATACTTTCCGATGGACCGTCAATTATGCAATATTGAAATCGAAAGTTGTGAGTTGGATGCACTTAATATATTTTTGGCTTACGGCCTATTTCATCACCTCTAGCTGATCATTGCCTTTAAAGTAAATGTAATTTTGGACCAGCATTTGTATATAACACTCCCGATAAATGCACCTGGAGGCAGTGAAATAGTTCTAATTAATTAAAAATATACAGTTTCACGTCCTTTGTTCTATAAAACATGGACGTGCTTTCTTAAATGAATAAAAACATCATTTTATTACTTGACCAGCAGACTCATGACGCTTTCAAGTTCGGTAGACAAAGTCTAACTAAAAGTTTATAAAACGCTTAAGAACTTGCACTACCGTCGTCGTTATCTGACGAAGCAGTTATCCTAACATTTCTCACCCACGGTAGTCCGGTAGCTATAAATTCATTCACCTTATACAGATATTAAGAAACCCCAGTGCAATGGGTGCTTATTTTATCGTTCCATATCTCTGCATGGTACAGTCGGCTACACCATGCGGGACATCCGATACAAGTGGAACGAGGGGCCCAACTCTGTGGGCGTGTCGAGCGAAGTGTCTCTGCCGCAATTCAAGGTGCTGGGCCATCGGCAGCGAGCCATGGAGATCTCTCTTACGACAGGTATACAGCACCGATGAAACATTCCACAATTTGCCGAAAACCGATCGTTGCCGCTTTTTCTTTACTTCAAAATAGACACCTGCATGCATTCGCTTCTGCCAGACATCCTCCCAACCATCAGTTACTTTCCTTTGGTGACCTGGTAAAGCTAAATCGATATTTGACTTCGATTTGTCCAACTATTTTTTGAATTATGCTGATCACATTCATAAAGTTTATTAAATCGATTGTTATAATATGTACTTTGATTGCAGGAAACTATTCACGACTGGCATGCGAGATTCAATTTGTCCGTTCAATGGGATACTACTTAATCCAAATATACATTCCATCTGGCCTAATTGTAATTATATCTTGGGTATCATTCTGGTTGAACCGAAATGCGACACCTGCTAGGGTATCACTAGGTGTTACCACCGTACTTACGATGACTACGCTCATGTCATCCACGAATGCCGCTCTGCCCAAAATCTCATATGTCAAGTCTATCGATGTCTACTTGGGAACCTGCTTCGTCATGGTCTTCGCCAGTCTTCTAGGTAACAATATATGGAAGGATGTTAAAGATTAAAATAAAATCTTTGCTTTTTAAAAATATAAAACAAATACTACATATTTTTTGAATTTAATTCTTACTTTGTATTGATTATATTGTATTTTGTAACATATTTTAAATAGCAAATATGTTTTGAGTAAATTGAATGTGTAATTGCTCAGCGATGTTGCACTGGAAACAGACATGATTACTTACAGAAATATTTGGTTACAGAATATGCTACCGTCGGCTATATGGCTAAAAGGATACAGATGAGGAAACAAAGATTTACCGCTGTTCAGAAAATGGCTGCTGAAAAGAAAATGCAAATAGACGGACCACCAGGTACATCGGAGCCTTTACCACCACCGAGGACGAGTACGCTAACGAGACCACCACCACCGAGTAGATCTTCAGTAAGTATTATATGTGTTTGCGTTCAATATAGTGCGTATTTATGTAGATGTCGGTCTCGTTACTAATTATATCCATTAATTCAGGAGGTCCGATTTAAAGTTCATGACCCGAAGGCGTATTCCAAGGGCGGCACCTTAGAAAACACTATCAATGGATCTCGAGGTCCCGCTGTACCTGCTGTACCTGTACCTGCTGGCCCGCAGCCTGATGAAGAAGCTGGACCACCTCCGCACCTTATTCATGCTTCGAAGGTACACTATGTCTTCTTATTGAACATAATAAACATGTCTAAACGGCGACTGTTGCAGTTTGTAATGCGTAAGCGAGATGCACATGTTATGCATTGCGATCGATGCGAATTCTAGATTGCGAACTGATTTAGCTTGTTAAGTAAAACATTAATCATCGAAGTTAAGGTGAATGATATTTACAGGGTATCAACAAACTGCTCGGAACGACACCATCGGACATCGACAAGTACTCTCGCATCGTGTTCCCCGTCTGCTTCGTTTGCTTTAACTTAATGTACTGGATCATATACCTCCATGTTTCCGACGTTGTGGCCGACGACTTGGTACTACTAGGCGAAGAAAACTAATTTCCCTCGAATAAACTATACTTACCGGACTTGTTCAAACTTAGGGTGCTCATGATCAACCATCCATCAAGTTTCGGTAACGCGCTTTGGAATCCTAGAAACGCTCGATAATCTATTAGCGTTCTGTAACCTTATAAATATAACAAATAAACATCACTATGATTATAATAGATACGTGTCGCGTATATTGACACTGGTAATATTGAATTCTTTAGAAAATAGAGATAATATAAAGTTCAAAATGTAAGTCAATCTGTCTAAGAGACAAAATGTTATATCTTCAATAGTTATCAGTCTTAAATAAATGTGTATGTATACATGAAAATCCGCAGTTATAAAGTTATATACATTTTATGGATTAAATTAGTTTTTAATAAGAATCCAAGTTTATATACAAATTACTAATTGCAAATCTAAGCGCTTTTTATTGCTAACTTCAAATGATGGCTGTCTTTACTTCTCTAGTTGATTAAGTAGCAATTTTATAGAATATATCACTAATAACATTGAAAAGAGTATACTGAATGGTCAGGCGCGTGTATTCAATTAAATCAAACTGTAGTTATTGTCATGTTGATCGGCAAGGTATTGAAAGGATAAATTCAAACGTAAGATTTTCAGTCATTTTAATCCACACAATACATCAACAAACTGTAATATTAACTAAATAATAACTTTATATCCAAAAAAATATGTAGTCGATTGTATTAAAAATAGATTATAAAATCTCAATTAACACGACAGTAGTAACAATTTCATAGCTCGATATCGCCACAAAGATTTTTCCTTTATTTAGAAGATGCTGATGTTTTAGAACATCATTTGCCCGAATTATGAAATGTATTTCAAATATTCGTAAAAGTATATCGGTACAAAACAGTAAAGTAACTACAATACACTAAAGGTAACAGGGACTACGTACTTTTTGACAACAACTGGTGTTTAGGAAGTTGGACCACAGTCCCTTACCGATAGTGCCTCTTCATATTACAGTACTAGTCATAAATCTATGAATTTGACATTAGCGCGCGTCACTAGGTACTTAAATAAAAACTAAAATATAACGACGGAATTTGAAGAGGACTTGATACCGTATTTACGATCATGAGTCCTTTATAGGGCAAGATGTAAATAATTATACATAATATTATATTTATACGATTAGGATACACATACACGATTGCTCTAGTTTTTTAAAAAAGTTATTCGGTTCAATTTAACATGTATACACCGGTAATACACTTCAAATTAAATCTAGTGCACAGAACACTTTTTCTACGTAGTTTAAAAATTTACATGTATCAATTGAATGTAATGTATTAGATCTGACGGAGTGACATGATATGTTCTTAAGAGTAAGATTGGTTCATCGATCTTGATTTCTTACTTCTCGGTCTTAATCAACCTTGAATATTGATCGGGTTTGTGTTATATCTAAGTCAACATATATTACGCGGAGAGACTCGGTGAGACCTTTGTAATGTACGTCTTTACACGTATTTCGTAAGTACAATAAACTATAAGAATAAAAGAAGGGAAGAGAAGAGTTCGTAGAGTACCGTTATTAGAGCTGTGACTACTCTAAGTTTTGATCTCACAATTAATTGAAAATATACATAAACTTAGAAAAATAAACTTATCTACTAATAATAATGTAAAAGGGAAACAATTCTTAGTTGTGTTTGTGCTCATATAGGCTTGTAGAGGTTTTATTGATATTGTTTATATTTACGTATACATTCCAATTTAATTGGGAACACATTTTCCCAAGTTTCGTTTTATACGATACTTCCTTGTTGTGACTCCAGTTTTTAGATATTTACAGTATCATTTTGGAGTATTTTAAGATTTGAGCTACAAGCCATTTCTTGTTAGAAAGATCCCTTATTATTTATTTCTGAATTTGCTCAACGTTTTTCAAAGACACTATTTATAAATATGTATAAGGGAGTGCAAATAGTTGATTTGACTAGGAAATGTAATAAATAGGTTAGGTAGTGATATTTTTAAGTAATTATAATTTGCCTCCTATTTTATACCCACATTCTCAGACTGTGCATTAAGACTAGCGTTTATAAATTTTATCATTTAGAAAGTCTATTTCTGTTCTAAAGATATTAAAATTTATTTAAAATACAATTAATCCTAAATATTGTATAAAGACTGAGTCAATATTCTTTTAGTTCCTCATATTTACAGCTATAATGAACATGACAGCCATCTATAAGTTCCCTTGATTACGTAAGTTCTTCTGTTTCTAGATACTGCATTAACTAAAAGTAACAAAATATATAAGAAATCTATTGCATTACTATCGCGAGATAGTGACATAAATATTCTGCTCTAAAATATATTTATATACATATATATATATTAATGACGATACGTTATAATTAGTAGTTACAATCAGCCAAATTGATAAGTATATCTTTAACGATTAACTATTAGTCGACCTTCAAAATGAACTATGGATTAAATGTACATGATTATGAAAAAAAATATGTAAGATGTGAAATTCGCATTATATTGCACCTAGTTAGTAAGTGAGTAGCGTAGCTTAGCGGACGGGGGAGCGGGCGAGGCGAGCCGAAGGGGATGGCCACAGTTTACTTAGTAAAAGTTTCGAGGCTGGTGTACAGCGGCAGCGGGCCAAGTTATTGGCACGGCTAGCGACTCTTGCTAAGCGGTGACGCTCGAGCCTCTCTCCGCTCGATTCCAATTTAAACTGCATTCTGTCTACACTACTACTATGTACACTGAAACATCTAGCGCGCATTGCCCGCAAACCTCTTTCGCGAAACCAAATTCTAAATCACATTTAAATAAAATCTAGCATTATTAAAAAATTATACTGTGTGAGTAAAATCAATCTAGAAAACTAAGATGATGATGATAATTTATTATGATATAGGTATCAAATAAAATTTCAATAATATTAATATATATATTGTATTATCACGTTTCCCAAATTAGTCTACCTACTCTCGTATAACTGATCCACAATGAAATATTTTGCACTAGAAAAACTAATTAATAACTTACACTTGTCAAATATTATGGAGATTTTCTTGCTGAGATTTTAGGGACTGGCAAGTGACTTCGTGTTCAGACGAATTAATAAATAGTAGTGAACGAGTATTAAAAAACTAAAATCATCCATATAAACAAAGGCTGTCGAAAGTAAATATTCTAAACTAATTCTGACTACTTTAAATTATTGTAAGCAACAAGCATGAATCGCCGTCACTTGCGCGTGCGCCTGTAGGTGGCGCTCTGAGTACTTTGTAATTATTCTTACTTTGCTGCACATTCAGGTATTGGGCCTGCAAGAAGCACATGCGTTCAAATGGTTTTACATAGGATTATATTTAATATGTAGATATTACGTACACTCATAACTATCGGCACTTGATTTCCAAGTAATTCTGCATCATAGACGCATATTATACATACATATAAAATATTTAATAAATAAAGCATAGTAAATGCAGACTTGAATAGTGCCAAATGCGAGGCTTTAAAATTTTATTATTCGCTTTTTATTACGAATATATTTCTACCACATCTGTTTTAATATAATAAACTGTCAATGTCATTAGATGTGTCATATTTGTGTTTCAATTGAAGTATACCCTAGAAATAGATAACATTGTGATGTATATAATAAATTATATACAGTATATATATATATATATCCCTGTAACTTTGAGCAAAGGTTTGTTGTTGAACACGAGTATGTATACCACTTTTGTAAATAAAATCCAACGGATCTGTCCTACGAGGAATTACTTCATTTACAGGCAGTGTAATGTATTGCAGCTACTTGTGAAATGTATCTCGATGCTGATTTTTTTACCTATACTTGTATTAAAGTGTTTCGTAATAAGATTTAAAATTTTTGAGGCATATCATGTGTTAGAATTTATTATGCTGTTTCTTTGTTATATGTAATTTAATATCCTCTGCACATTCATTTATATGTGAGTGCGTATGAAAATATTTGATCAATGTTTAATGTATTTATTTAATTATTTCTATGAACATGATGTAATGTAAGCGAAAGCGAGGTTCATCTCAAACTTTGATTGAATATTTTCATAAGTAACATTGTGATTGCACCTCGAAGTATGTTTATGTAATTATATTGAGCTTCTGCGTGTTTTATGAACCTGTGTATATTTTATTGAGAATTGTATCAGTGTTAAGTAGTGTTTTGTTATCATTATAATATAAGAGAAATAAATTAAAATATCCAGCTAATTATAGTTTTGGTGTTATTAACGTTTGAAACTAATAAATATTATAAAAATCTTTTGTTTCAACTTGCTGGTAAAAATCAGTTACTACTAAGTATATGAATATTTCTTCGACCAAAATATTTATGACAATAATTAATAAACCATTTACCTAATAAAAACGTCAGTGTGTCAACATCGAATCGCTTGAACGTAGAAAATTAAAGATCTATGCTGCCGTCAGATATACGAGTACCCACGTTGTTACAAGTCAGAATAACATCAATCATTTATTTATACAAATATCGTAACTACTGCACGCCAGTTACTAAACAGCTGGTGATAGGTACCCCAAAACGAATTTATGCAGACCAGGCGAATGAATTGGTACTTAATGTCGCTGGCTGCTATATAACACACGTATTGGCTGAGAACCCGGAATCTATGAAAAGGATTATAAGTATCCTCAATTCTCTAAATACTATAGTTACAAACTATTGTCTATTCCATAACCAATGTTCTGAGACAATAATTCATTATTCATACTTTCTGATCAAAAGAACGGACGACAACTAAAGTATTCCTTAAAACAATCACATTATGGCAAAGCTAAACTGAAGAGGTTGTAATTCTAAGTTTCTTGGACACGACTGTGCAGCTTTACATTACACCGTCCGTTTCTTGAAATATCATACTTTTAGAATTTCAGCAGAATATATTAATGCACCTTACAGCTTTAACTAGTTAATACCTTATAGACCTATC